TCAGGAGCCCGAATCGATTCGTAAACTGCAGAAAATAAATTAAAACCCTTCGAAGGAACTGTACATCGCCTCCAGCCTTTATTTGGATTACCAACATTGTCCTCGTCCGAAATTCAACGAACACGCGGGGAAGAGGAGGCCGCTCTGACCCCAACAGTAGCAAGTGTAAATTGTGACGGCAATGCCTCAGTTTCTGAAAAACGAGTCAAATCAGCCATTACACTGCAACATGCTACAGGGAATAATTTCAAAATAAAGGGTAACTTTTTACCTATTGATGTGTATATTGAAGGGTGGGGGAATGGGAATTATGCATGGGATTTTATGGTTACTAATCTCTCTTTCGTTCTCTCTCTCTCTCTCTCTCTCTCTCAGCTTAACAAGAAATGACTTAAAAAAATCAATCGAAGATTCTCTGTCGAGTTCTGACATCACTGATGATGAATATATTCCTAAACCTGGAGAATACATAAGTGACAGCTCGTCAGAAGATACATTGTCGCACAAGGGCAAGAGGACAAAGGCACGGAAAGTACCTTCAACCAACTCACGTAAGGTCCATGTAAAATCACATGAGAAGACGTGACACCTTCTTGTACCCCGGACATGGGTAAACCTCAAGAATCTTCGTCTAAAAGTTTACCCCTAGCCAATTCTTGCAAAGTTGATGTCCTACCACAGAAGAGAAGACGTGATGTTTGGTGATTCCTGGGACACAGATTACCCGCAAACATCTTCATCCGGTGGTTCTGATTTGAAGGTCATGACTTTAAAGAAGAAAACAGATGGTTGCAGGCTCTACAACAAATCTTACTTCTGTGTCTTTTGCTCCAAGCCGTACAGAAAAATCGCACGCCATTTGGAAACAAAACACAAAGATAAACCTGAAGTCGCAGGAGTGCCTCAATTTCCAACTGGGTCCAAAGAGCGAAAAATACTAGATCCACTCAGAAACAAAGGGAATTGTGCCCATAAAGATGAGGTTCTTCGAGAAGGTCAAGGAATGGTGATACCTCGTCAGCAATCTAACAAACCTGTAGAAGCCAAAGATTACATGCACTGTGTGTGTAGCATGTAACCACAGCCACAGGGTCATGTTACAACGGCGTGACGTCACGGCCGTAAAGTGGGCGGTTGCCGGAAAGCGTTGCTATAAAAAGGTGGCTACTGACAATAAACGGCAGTGAGCACAGAAGGTTGAAATGTGTTCATATTTGCCCGTAATTAAGAAATAAAAATGTGGACTGACCACATATTTAACTGCCTCTTTTTCTTCACAGCTTAGTTTTAAAGTCTTATATTATTAATGTGAATATCTCAGGGATGACAGGGTGTAACAAGTGTTAGTTTGAATCGAGGCTTCCTTCGTTGACAAGTCTTGAGCAATGTCTGGAACGCTACAAGGCAGAGCCTCTTGCTGGCATGGATGACTGTCCCCAAGAATGGTGGTCCACACATGAAGGAGCATACAGAGACATGTCCCACCTTGCACCAAGTACTTGGCAACACCGGCTTCATCAGTACCTTCTGAGAGGTTGTTTTCAATATCTGGCCACATTGTACGGAAGAAGCGAGCTTCCCTTTCGTCTGAAAATGTCAACAGGCTTGTCTGTTTGAGTGACTGGCTCAAAGCAAAGAAGTATTAGGCTAGGCTTATATTTTATAGTTGAGCATTACCGTTGTTCTCTTAATTTTACTGTACTTTTCTGTTTTGGGAAAGAAGTAATAGACTAGGTTGATGAGCCTCTGGTGAATAATGAGCAGGTCGCCTGACAGCTATGTTCAAAGCAAATTGAGAAAAAGTAAGTATTAAACCAAGGCTCAACTGCACTATAGACTGAGTACTAGTTTACCTTAGATGTGCACTTTATAATTTTATATTGCTCTGTTTTGATTCCCTACAAAGTGCTGTTAAAGGAGCTGTTGTGTGACAAAATGTTTGTTTCCATTGTTATTGATGACAGTTATATTGTGTGAGAGATTGTGTTCCAAGTGTGAATAAATGCTCCAAATGAAAAATGTTAATGTAAAACTTAAAACTGATATAGTTGTTTCAATAAATATTTGCATTTTGCACAAAGAAAACGGATCCATGATTCCATGTTGATGAGAGCATTAAAACGGGAAAAAAATAGGACAAAAAATATAAAAGGAAATTCAGAAACGATAAAACAATGTGTGAGTAATCACGATTAATTATGAGTTAATTATGACAGTTACATTTTTATTCACGATTAAATATTTTAATCATTTGACAGCACTAATATATATATATATATATATATGTACCGTATTTTCATGACCATTCGGCGCACCGTATTGTTGGGCGCAGTCTCAGTAACGGGTGCTATTTCTGTATTTGACACATACACAAAACGCACTGGTAAAACATATGCCAGCTTAAACATACGGCAGCATATATGCACGCTAAAACATACCAGGTATGTTAGCTTAAAGCATACGGTAGCAGCTAAGACATACGGACACACGCTAAAAACACGCTTTTAAACATAACATAAATGAGTAAGTACATAAGGACATAAATGCTTTTACTGTCACAGTATATCTGGTCGATCCCACCCAATGGCATACATAGGTCAAAGATTCCAAGACTGCAGCCAAAAGATTCTGGTATTTATAATTCCATGATTTCACCACTGCAGAATATGTAGATGTGGTCCTGACATATCTTAGCCTACACCTAAACTTAATTGTGCCACCTGCATCGCAGATGTCAACATTTTCTCATCAACAAGATGATACTTGACTCAACAAACTCACGACTTGATAGTTTTTTCCAGGGAAGTCCAAGAAATAAAAACCAGTATCAACTTCACCCAAAAGGAGGTAGACGACATTAAAAAACAGCAAATTAATGAAACTGACCAATGTAAAAACATGCAGACTGAAATCTACAAAATATGTGACAGTCTGCTCGTATTAACTGACAAGATGGACTACTTGGAAGGACAGTCAAAAAGAAAAAAACTTGGTAATTGATGGAATTGAGGAAATACAAGGAGAAATGTGGACTAAAACGGAGCAAAAAGTGCAAAAAATCTTCAAGGAGCAACTGCAGATAAAGGAGACAATCGAGGTGGAACGTGCCCATCGCACTGGAAGGCACGAACCGCGGAGACCTCGACCTAGGTCAGTTGTGGTGAAATTTGAAAAATACAAGGACACAACAAGGATTCTACAGAGAGCAAAATATTTAAAAGGCATCAAAATCTACATTGACGAAGACTTCACAGATGCTGTGCGTCAAAAAAGAAAAGAACTGCTTTCAACTTGAACAACTTGGACCCGGACTATCATTTCTTCAATCTTAATCACAGCATCACAAACTCCGAGTATTACATGGACGAAGAATTCAACACAAATGTATTACAGTAAATATTCCCATCCCGGGAATTCTATGAAAAGGAATATCCTTCACCCGGAACAAAAGCCTGTGCATTAACATTTTGACTACGATATTACATGTTACCGGAACTTACGTAAGAGGAAATTCCACTACCCGTAACCCGGATTGAGACGTCATGCCGCGGGAGCTTAAATACACGCAACGCCCACCCGTTGCTACGGAACGGCGACACCGAGACACATTTTCACTTCGCGTTTTTCGATCATCAGATTCGAAACGACGACGTGTAAGTGAGTTTTTATTGGCGTGCGTTTTACTGTAATTGTGAATGATTTTAACTTTATTCACTTAACGTCCTGTAGAACGCGGCACTAGCTTAAAAGCAGCACCCACTCGACACGACCAAACAGACGTGTTCGCTTCGTCGTTTACATTCATCAGATTCGAAACGAAGACGTGTAAGTGACTTTTTATTTGAATTTTGAATTGAATTGAATACAACTTTATTGTCAAATGTGCTGTACAGCACAGATGAAATTTCTTCCCTCTCAACATAAAACAAGAGGAGCCGCTGCGGGTGTCCGCGCCGCCATCAAAAGAAAAGTTAACAAAAAAATGACAAAATAATACAAGACAACACATGAGACACAGACAATCGTGCAATCTTAACCACCTTCCTGCATACACTTTGTTGTCTGAAGCAGTTATTGATGAAAGAGGAGCGAATCAAAGTGTCCTTTTCACCAGTGGATCAAAGAC